GCTGCCACTGTTTAGGCAAAACTTTCCACCCTTTAGGCAAAAAAAAGTCCACCTTTTAGGTAAAACTGCCACCAATAGGCTTCTGGAGCCTTGGGCTACTGACACATTTATTGTAAGAGCCCCAAAATGAATTAGACTGTCCTGATGAGAGGTTAATCTCTCCATCCAGGGAGCTGCACCAGAGCTGGGAGGATCCTTGAGACTGCCAACTTTCTCCAGTCTCGGAAGCAGGATTTTGGACCCATGGTAGAGTACAGAGATAAACTAAGAAATAACAGCATCCAAGCCTTTGAGTCACTAGAAGTAATTTTTCACTGGTGAGTCACAGTATCTGCACATCCTTGCTTCCTGGAAACTTAGGGTACTTAAATACGCAATATCTCACGAGTATCATGGCTGTATCATGGAGACACTTCTCCAAAGTGTGAGGTTTCTCCTGCTACCTTTCAGCTCTAGCCAGTGTCCATGGATGCTAAACATGCTACAGGACCCGGCCTCAGGATTACTTGCTAAAATCAAATGGGAGGGGTTTTAGTAACTTCCAGAGGAACAAGGACATGCATTCAGTTTCAGACACTTGACACTCATCTGACCTGTGCTCAGCCATCTCTGCCAGAGAACAGCAGCTCCTGGAGGATTCATCCTCAGCTTAATCCAGAGAACCAGGAAGCTGCAGAAGCTGTGGCTGTGACAGCACACAACTTCGCAATTTTGGCAGTCTGGGCTTGTGCTGACTAAGGTGCTAACACTGACAATAAGAGACAGCTTATTGGGGAATCTTTCTTCAGCTTCTTCTTCTATCCCAGAGATGTAAATCCACCACACTCGTCTTTCACCACCGCACCCATGCTCCAAGATGATTTCATCTGGCCACAGAAAAGACAGATGAAACACGAATGCTCCAGCACTTGTGGAAACAGGTGCAAGAAAAGACATAGGTGGAGGGATAAACAAATTGATAGATGTTTTTTAATCCTTTGACCTCAACAGTATTAAATTCCCTGATATTTTTGTTGTTGTGAATGTGTTTCCATCATAAAATTAAAAAGTGACAGGCTTTATGGCTTCATCTTAAAATATCAAAGGAAAAGGCACTGTAATGTTGGATGAGAGCATCAGTCAGCCTCCTGGGTTAACAATGACTAAAATTTTGCTCTTCCTTCTGAGATTTTACCAAGAGTAGTTTTGAGTTGCTTCATCAATACCAAAGTAACTGGATATTTATAGCATCCATGGGGCTGGACACATCACTCCCTTGGACGAGCAGAGCCAAAGGAACAAGAACCCTGGTGGCGCAGAGAGGCCACCCTGATGGATGCCGGGTGCTGGCTGTGGAGGCCGCAAAGGGCTCTCCCCTCCCTGCGCCAGGCCCGCACGGGCAGGAGGGCAGGTGCCACACCACCGCCATTTTGTAGGCAGCCCTGTTTGGGTGTCAGCAGGAGCCCTGCACTGCCCCAGGCAGAGCAGGGAGATGAAGGAGCAGAGCAGATTTGGAGGGGGGAAGCCCTTCCTTGTCCTGGTTAATCAGGATGGGGACACCTGATGTCACGGCCTATTAAGGTGCTTGTCACCCAGCACAAAACCTCTAGGGAAGGCATCAGGGCACAGAAGATGTCCGCCTTCCTAGGCTGGTGACAGCTGAGGCATCAGCTGGCTTACCAGCTTCCCCCAGGGGCAGCAGCAGGGCTGCCGAGAGGAGCCTCTGAAGTGGCTCACGCTGCACCTCCAGGCAGAGCGCCTTGTCGCTGTGCTGATACACTCCAAAATCCCTGAGCTGCTGATGGCAGCTGGGCTAGGGCAGCTGCTTAACTGGCCCTCGCTTCAGCAGGTAACAATCCGCCTTGTAGGCCACTGCCTGCCTGTGGAAATCTCTCTCACTTTTATTTAATCTTGGGAGACTCCCTAGTGACTGGAGAGGAAGGGAAATTACAACGTCCCAAAGGCCTGAAAGGCAAAACTTCAGCAGGAGCTGGATACTGAAGTTCCTTATGCACGGCTGCAAACCCCAGCCAAAGCCCTCAGGCACAGTGCAGGTAGGTTAAACCAGATCACTAGATGAGTATGCCCTTACGCAGGCACCGTCGTCAATAGGATTTCTGCCCCACTCACAACAATGAGCCCTTTTATAAAGCCCCAGCTTCCTGATCCACCTTCACTGCCAGTGCTGGAAACGCTGACAAGCAAGCTCCAGCTCATCGAAGTGCTGTGGCCACGGCGAAGCCACCCCCTTCCTCCTTGCCTCCCCAGCCACAGGAGAGCCGGCCACAACCCTGGCTGTGTCACGAGCTCTCAAGAAATTGGCAGGCTTGGCCTTGCCGCTGCTGAGGTGTGAGCATGTGTTTCATTTGCCTGGTAAGCTGTGGTAGAGCGGTGGTGAACATCTGGGTTGAGAAAGCCGCCGCTGCCACTTGCCAAGCATAGGTGAGTCAAAGCCCTGACAATGGGGATGTAAATGCAATGCACTTACAGACAGAACAGGAATAAAAACCTCACGCTGTACTGAGAAGCACAAGGCAAAAATCACTGGTCACTGTTAAAAAATAAATAAAAAAGCTAGGCTTTCAGTGGGGTCAGAGCTAAGCATGAGCTCTTTCTTCAGCCCAGGGACAACTGTGTGCAGCCTCTGTGGAGGAGAATCCCTCTTTGACTGGGGAAGAACACAGGCAGCAGGCACAAGAGAGCAGCACATGGCAGCAATCATGAGAGAGTGGCAAACAGCCATCCTGACTGGTGGTCACAAAGCTGTCCAGCAGCTGCACAGGGGGAAAATAATAAATAAATAAATAAACAGCAAGAGAGAGAGGGAGTGAAGGAGGAGGGGAGGAAGTTTTAAAGACAAACAGATTGAGAGCAGCCTCTCAGACAAGTCAAAACTCACGGAGACAAGCACGTTTCTCCTCTGAGAAAAGTACCAATAAAGCAGGAGGCATCTGTGAATGGATAAAAAAAAAAAAAAAAAGGAATAAAACCTGGACAAGTAGGAAGCTGCAGTCAATCAGCTTCATACATATTTAACAGGGATGTTCATCCGAATAGAGGCCTGCCTGTAGTGCACTAGAAATGAGTCTGCTGCCCAGAAGGAACACACAGAAAGCCTCACTCACAGCCAGCATGGGACGGAAAGGCAGAGGATGGCTCAGTATTGTTGGGGAAGACAGGAAAAAAGCAGCCCTGGTGGAAATGGAAGAGATGATCGGAGGGATCGGGCAGCCCCTGCTGTTGTGCTGATAAGATATCCAGGGAAGGACATTCTCTCCAGTCCCTGACCCAGGGAAGACAGGAGAGACCATGTTCTGCTTTGCAATGGAAATCTCACTCCTGGCAGTGGCTGCAGGGGACAAGCAGTGCTGCTGTCTGTGAAGCCGGAGAGGTTGAACCATGGCCCAAGAAACAGCACAGTTGTCCAGGCTGCGATAGCCCCAGAAAAAAAAAAAAAAAAAGCTTTAGCTCTTGTTTTCTGGTTCAAAGTTCCTGCTCTCAGTGCAGCAGAATAGCTTTGACAAGCCAGAGAAATCCAGAGGAACATGTGCCAGGATCATGACTGATCTCAGGAGGATGTGGGGTAGAGGGATCGCATCTACATTAGTCTCTCTAGCAATGGCCTGGGTCCAGGCATAGAGTTGGGTTATAAACCTCTTGACACACACCTCAGTGGGCTCTTTCAGGCCCACATTAGCAAGGATTCAAGCCTGACAGAAACATGCTGCACTGAACCACCTTGCTTGTGCTTCACCTCCACCTTGGCTGAACTGACGCCTCTGCAAAGACAACGTGTCCTGTACCAGAGATAATCTACAGGCAGTCTTCTGCAACCCCTTGACACAGGACATCACTCAACAGATGTATTAATATACACTGGGTTGCCCCTAATGGTACAAAAATAGAAAACCCACCTTAGTCTACTAGCTTGGGAAATGTCATTGCAGGATTCCCCCTGATTATTGTCCTCCAGCGGCATCCCTATGAAACACAAAGACAATTCCTACCAAGACCTATTTCCTCTCTACCCAGCACAGCCTGTAATAGGAGTTCTGCAACCCCAGCTATGTCCTCGCTGACACCTGCTCAGCCTCAGAGCCCTCCAGGGGTTTGCACAAACACGACTGGCTGAACTTTACGGCAAGGCACGGGAAAACAGACAGTCTCATCCCATGGGATGCTATGACCCTGTTGACACGGCTCACAGTGGCTGCTAAATGGTGTTTCCAGAGCAGACTTCCCTCTCTTCAAGATGCAGAGGCTTTCTCTGAGGCAGAAACAAAGGCTCCAGCCTGCCCTGTTACCTGTGGCAAACGAGCATCAGCTAGCCAAGGAGAGGCTCTCACCTGGCAGATGGGAAGCAGAATGTAGCTGAAGAAAAAGAGGAGCACACCTACAGCACATGGCAGTAGTACGTGATATGTTCCAGAGATACGTGAAAATGACGGTTATGAAAGAGACGGGAGGGGAAAAAAAAAAAAAAAGAAAAAAAAAAAAAAGTTTCTTGGCTCATGTCCAGGGGGAAAGGTTCATTTCTGTCATCAGACTTAATGGTTGAGCCTAGGGAGAAATGCAAATGCTATCAGGTCCTCCCTTCCCAGGGAGAGAGCAGGGTCAAAGGCAGCCCCACCTCTCCTCCCCGCATGCATGCCATCTGCCTCCGCCTGACCCGAGGCTGGCGGTTGTCCTGAACTGCCATTGTAGCCGGGTTTAAGGGGAGCAGCAGCAGCCTGGTGATTACTGCATCATGCAGGGAATCAGAAGTACTTTTGCCTCAGGCACCACGGTAAGCTCAACGGGAACCCGTTTTCATGCGTCAGATGTATTACATGGATGCCACACATCCCATTTGGCAACTCCCTCAAGTATTGCAAGCTTCTGGACAAAGGGACTCCCAAACTCCCTGGATCTGGCACAGCACTCACCGACTTGAATTTAGACTCGCATTCTTGGCCAGAAGCCCCGAGCGAGCACTGTGAAGGAAGCGCCCTCATCCCCCCTCTCCCTCCTTCCCCTCCTACCCCCGGACGGAAGGCATGTTGAATCGCTCCTCTTCACGGGCCAGGGAGTGCTCTTCTTCTGGAACAAAACCCTCCGCACGGGGAGCTCTGCTGCTCCTGCTCTTCTCAGTCCATCAGAAGAAATGCTGCTGGGATCCTGCTCTGCTGCAGCCAAAACACATCGCAAAATCCAGCTAGTTTCGCCAGGATTTTGTTTAGGAAGAAAACCAGGAAAACAAAGCGTTCCAGCAGTGTTGAAACATTTATTTTCAACATGTTTGCAGAGCAACATAGCTTTTTTTTTTTTTTAATAATAATAAATAATAAAAAAAAAACTTAAACACCACTGTCATTTTGATTTTCTGTTTGTATTGCATCAGATAAGCTGCAAAACTCAAAACCAAAACTTTCAATTGACCCAAAGCAAATAAAGGAGTTGGGTGTAAAAAAAAAAATTAAAAAAAATCTGAAAGCCATCCTCTATAAAACTGAACTGAAAACTGAATGTTCAGCCTCTGTACAAATGTCAAAAATTATTTTAATTCATTTCTCAATCTACGAAAATCTCCTGGTGGAGATAAGCTTTTACCACTAGGTAGGATGGGACAAGTGCTGTGTTTTGTAAAATGCTGTTATAAAAGTGTTTTAACTCCAGTAAGGTGATCTAGTAGTACAGCCTCTAAAATTTGAAATTAAAGAAAGTGAAATTCCCTTCACCTATAAAAGCATAGCACCAGGAAATAAGCTGTCTGCACATTAGGATTTTACAGATTCAGGAATTACATGACCTTAAATGACATTTCCGAGCATCAGTCCTCAATGTGATTTTTCAAACTGGTGAGATGACTTCAGCATCCTATTAGTTGTGTTCTCATGTGCATGTATGCACCTCCACTGGTCTTACAGTTATAAGTTAGGACAGGATTTGGGCCATGATATCCATAGGGCAAACGGCAAATCCTTAGAGGAGAGGGAAAAAAGAGACAGTAACCCTAGAACGATTAGTGAAGTTAAAGACAAGAAAATCTAATAATGTCAATAGAAGCAACGCCATGAGTTAAGTCTAAGTAAAGCATTTGGACTTTAGATACCATCTAGGTTAAGGACTCTGTAGGAATCACTGAACTGAGCACTAAAATAAAGCCCCTGTGGAGGAGGCAGCAGCTTTAAATCTACAGAAAGCAGCTTTACCTACCGACTGCAGGCAGAGAGCACAGAACACTACGCTTAAGCAGCAACTGCAGGAAGCACGTGGGTGGCAGCAGCCATCCTCCACACCACCTTTTGGGGGAGGACACTGCGACCATTCCTCTGGCTGGTTCCTCTGGGAAAGCTCTGCTCCACAGCAGCATCCACCGCCAAGGTGCACCCCACTTTCCAGGGGCCCGCAGCTGGTTTCAGGATGAGTCTCCTGGAATTGCCAGAGATGGACGCAGAACAGCCAGAAATAAAACTTGAGATCTTGGACCTAATACAATAGGTCTTGGAGGCTGCACAAGAGTCACAGAGATCAGATGTCACCCAGTGATTAGGAGAGGGAGGGATAATATCAAAGAGAAGGCAGGCCAGCTACGTTAAGAGGAAGAAAACTCCTTCGATTCAAGCCAAGACCTATGAGTCAGAAGCTCTAGTTTATACCTTTGGCAGAGCCGAAAACTTCCTGTGACATCTTCAGCAAATCCACTGTGCTCCTCAATACAACAGTACAATAATTCAGAAGGATCAGAGCTTTAAATTAACTGAAGTTTACAGCCTGCTTGGAGCTCCCAAGGTGAAAAGCGCTCTTACCTTACAACCCAGCAGCAAAGCCCTCCTGCCACCCATCTGCTGCGCACAGCACAAGCACTCCCAGTAGGATACCATCCACAGCAATACTCACGCTGATGTAAAACATGCTTTAGCACTTGCTGCTTACTGTACTGCCATTAACAATAATGGCCCAGCATACTGTTTCCTCCTGTGCTTCCTGCACCTTAAAGCCAGCTATATCCCACTGCATTCTTCATGAAGCGAAACTACTCCTATCATTATACCAGGTATATCCAAGTAAACAGGAAAAGACAGAAGAGTTGTTATCAGGTGCCATGGGAAGGGAGGAGGATGGCGATTGGCAGTTTTGGCAGCTACGTAAATGGTGCCAGGTATGGCTATTTTGTTAACCACCTCCCTGTCAAGAAAGCCAGATCCATGGGGATTCATATTTGGAGAAGTCTTTCCAACACAGTTAGCTCTTATCTTGAGCTGACATTACATGCTGTTCACCACAGGCCATGACAGAAGTTTTAGCAGCAGACACCAGAGTAGCAGAATATTCTCTGGGAGAAAATAATAATAATATTAAAAAATATATACCTTGAATAATATCAGTTGTTCTACAGCTTCTACCTTCCAGTTGGGGATATTTGGCTCTGAGCTGATGAAAGCACTTTCAGAGTATCAGCTGGAAGGAGTAAGGCATCCAGATGTATTTAACAGAAGTTAAAACCTATGTATGCCCTACGTTTCTTGTCTGAAAGTCACCACCCAAAAATAGCTTGTGATCAAGTTATTTTTATTTAGAGAAGAGCCTGTGCCTTGAGTTTGGATCCGAGTCCAAATTCCACTACAGTTTTGGACTGTTGTTAAGGTAGGATGCTCCATTCTGGTCCAGTTCAGAAACGGGGTGACCAGTAAGGGTGACCAGTATTCTTGCTTGCTCTGTTTTGTCTGTGTACATGTCAAGGGTCCTTTGACGGTTCTGTATTTTTGGATCTGGAAATCCTGAAGGATCCTTAAAAAACACGTGCACATTTTCTTCCTGCTTTCTCACATTTCTGAACGAACCCTTGAGCACAGGAGCTTTCTTGTTTGCCCCAACTGGATATTCTTAAACATTTTATTACAACTTTCTGGTTCAGCTTTAACCACAGTGGTATTAACATAATAATTAACATAAATGTCTTGTAAAATCACTGTTAGTAAATTTGGATAATAACAAACTCTTAGGTATCTGGGTTTTGCTGCACTGGGTACCCATTCTAGAGCTCTTGTTTATGCAGGAGGGTGACACAGCTCCACACACACTGTTCCAGCTGCTCATGTAAGAAGTGAGCATTTTACACGTATTTTACACACATGCTTTGTACAAAATATCCAAGTATGTATTCACCCCCCCAAAAAACCAAACCTGAAACAGCGGCAACATTATCTGTCCCAGTAGATGTATCCAGACCCACACGCATGCATTGCCTGTCTTCAGACCTGTAGGAGGCAATGCAGGAGCTGCCTGAGGCTGCAGACATGTTCTGTGGGAAAGGCTGAAGCCTTCTTTTCTCCCTGTCCCTCCTTACTAAAGCCCATGGTAATGCAAATGCTCCCTCTTAAAGGTAAAGCAATGTCAGCTGGGTCAACTAACACCATCTTTGTCAGCACTGAAAGCTGTCTGACAGACTTCACCTGACAGATTAGGAAGACCTTGGACCACCTTTTCTAACAGCAGAGCAACGGGTACAGGAGCCATCAGCAGAGGGTTGGTAGCAAGCATCTGGAATGGCTGTAAGACCTCCAACCAGCTCAGCTGTTTGAAAATTAATGTCTGTCCGCAGTCCTGTGGCACTGAGCTGGTACATCTTCAGACATCCTTACATAAATCTCCAGTGCACTCAAGAGATTTATGATAAACACTTGCTCTTTCCTTAACCTCCAGAACCTTTTCCACCTGCTGAATAACGTAAGATTCTTTCCCCTCAGCCAGCCTGTTCAATATCTATATAAAGCCTGTAGAGAAGATTCGGTGGCACCATGGACTGACTTGTCAGCAGTACACACATGACACCCATCTCTACATCATCTTCACCTCCCATGCAAATAACACCATTACCCAGCTCTTCAAGGGCTTGGCTGAGATCAGCAAATGAATGAAGAGATGTTGGCAGAAGCTGAATTGTCACAAGAGCCTGGGCTGAGGATGGTAGAGGAAAGTATTTCACATTTCCATAATATCATTCATTCTCCATCACTGGCATTAAGACTAACTGGAGATTTAATGTTCATCTGAACTCATTCCTCCTGGAAACTCCGATAGCTGCTGCTGCAAAATCCTCTGTCCTTCACTACTATTTCTGATCAGATGACTTGTTAGTTTGAATTTGGCCTTTATGCTTGATTTCTAAAAACATTTAGAAAAGATACCCTGTGCAAAAATGTGTCGGTCTATTTATTCAGCAACACAAGACCACCAAGCAAGCTTGAGCTGAGCTCTCTGCTCTGCTCGCCACTCAGTCCCAGTTTAAATCAAAGGTCTTATTTTCAAAGCCTTCATCACCTTAGCAAAAAAAAATGGTGTAAGGACAGCCACAGTTATGTTGGAATCTGACAGTTACATTGCTCTGTAACAAAATAAATACTCAGCTTGAAGGATACGCGCACCAGGGACAGAGGTTCCCTGGTGCCTAGGACACAACTACAGAGTCCTGACCAAATGCAGGAGAAAACCATAAATCTCAGAAGTCCAGAACAAAAAGGAAACTCCAGTTTTTCAGCCCAGCCTTCCCTTTTCTATTCTAATTGTACCAAAACCACCAGTACAAAACTACCGGTAGTCCATGACTGGCAGGCATGATGAAGTCTGATTTCCAAGGGCACACTCCAGTGCGGGTTCTCCGGTGCCTGACAAAAGGTGACCTGAGCTGACAGCATCGTGATGTTTCTAGCACAAACAAGCTCTCTCTTGTGCCTCTTCTTTTTAAAATGTTATAGGAACTTCAGTTTGAAATCTCTGTTCTTTTGCCAAATTCAGCTGAAACTGACCAGCAGGCCCACACTTTTGGGGATGGGGGGAGTTAGGGCACAATGGATTCACATGCACAGACACACGCACAGCATGAATTAGAGAGATTGTTTTATTAGGAACCAAAGCTAGCACACCTAAAAAGTGCCCTATGTAAGATGTAGGAGAGAAAAAGAGAAACAAATGTTGATGGTGCTTTGTGTTTGTTTTCAAGAGCTTGTAAAGTAATTAGAGGCAGATACATAAAGTCATACATAAGCCTTTCAATAGAACAGCAACAGTTAGGCAATGAAAACCTAGGGAAAATCACAAATAAATAAATAATTAAATTAAATTAAATAAATCCACACCACAGTGCCCTAGGTAATCAGGTCTGAAACAACAACAAACTAAAATAAACACAAAAGCAGCTTTCCAATTGTATGAAATGCAAGATAAGTCAACAAGTCTAGAAAACACCACTGAAATGCACCTGAATCTGTGTTTAATTCAGCACAAAAATTAGCTCTGCAGAATACGTCAGATATTTATTTCTGACAACAACTGGCAATACTTGTGTGTGTTTCAAATGCAAGTCTGAGAACCTTTTGAATTGTTAAAAGGTGTGTGAAGGTTGTAAAGCTCAGAAGTCTTGCCAAGGATGATACAACTTTGCTGAATTTGTTAGCCTTACATTCCCATGAATTTTTCACAGTAACCATTCAACCTGACATCTGCCTAAGTCTGTCCAAACCTTTGGGTTCATGTGACAGGGAAGAAGTGACTGGGCAAAACAGCAGAAGAAACGTGGAATCACCAAAGAGGCCCAGTCAAAACCTGTGCCACTGTGGGGTTATATCTCGTCAGGCTCTCCCGGTGGTTGATTCCAGCAGCAACATTTGGATTGGCACACAGTACCAGTGAGTCAGCATTTTTAAGTTACAACTGAGAAAACAAGAAAAAAAAAAAAATAGTTTCGTTATTTGGTAAGGCAAGGAGCATCATAATGTGCCCAAGCTCTAGCGCAAAGCAACCTCCTCCCCGTTCCCTCCCCAAAGCCTGCCTTATTTTCCTAAACTGTCGATTCATAAACCAGGAAGGGTGCTGCTTCTTTCTGCTTCGTACCCTCCGTCCTGCTTGCACATGTGCTCAGCCAGTAACAGGCACCCAGAGCGAAACAGGATTACGTTCCTCTGGTTTGGAGCGTGAGCACAGCCCTGGGTGGGGCTGCCGGAGGATCAGCTCTTAATAAGGTGTCCAATTTATAATCTAGCAGGGTGAGGAGCAACTGGCTCTCACAATGAATAGCTCTTCTGTCTTACCATCTCCTGAGGCTGGCTGCCTGGCCAGCCTGCCTCATCCCTTTCTCTCTCTCTCTCTCCCACAGATGTTGCTCTTTTACTAACTTTTTGCTGTTTCCCAGGCTGGAAATATAAAGAGGAAGGAAAACAAGCAGCATCCACCCGCATCTCGTTGGAGACTGCAAACCGCGGCAGAACGAGCACACTATCTGCTAGCTAGCTGAATAGGAAATACCCCCCTGCTAGTCACTTATTCCAAGGAGGCTGAATCTCATCTTATAGTCCTGCTCCCGGGGTGCCCAGCGATGCCTGCACCAGGCAGGCTCTGCGGCCCCGACCTCGTTCCCCTCACAGCCCAACATGGCCACAAGCCTTCCCCTCGGGGGGAGCCAGGGCTGGCCAGGCAGCGGTAGCTCTCCCGCAGGACCAGCAAACCGAGCAGCCCCTGCAGCCACAGCCGGCTGCTTTCTGCTGCCAGGAGGGCTGGGAGCCGGGGCTGGCTCCCGAGGGGGACCGGGGAGCCTCTCGCTCCCCTGGGCCCCCGCCGCCCCCCGGCCGGGCCCGGCCCGGCGCAGCACCCTCTGGCGGCACCCGGCGGCCGGGCTCGGGAGCTGGGCCCCGGCCTCCCTTTCCTCCGTGGCGACACCTGCTACACACAGCGCCTGGGCAGGGAAAAGGCACAAATCCACCACGGCCTGCCTTCAGGAACTACACCTCTGCCTCCAGGCACCTATAGGCCCCCTTTCCGTGTGCAGTGACTCGTTTCCCTCCACAGCGCTGAAACAAAAATTAACTACATCGCCACCTGGAAAGCCACCATGGCCCTGTGCTGCCCCCCTTGCCAAAGAGCACTGAAAGGTGATACCGGCAGCCACCTGATCAGTCCTTGTCAGGGTAGGGGGCATCTGGCTCCCGCAGGATTTTTTATACAAGCAGTCTGTTTCCAGGACCGCCGCTGCTTCTGTAGCAGGATGCTGTTTTCAGGATGTGATTTAAGCTGAACTAACGACCACAGAAAAAGAAGAAGCAGGGAGCATGCACTCAGCTTCCTGGAAAAGACACCCGAGCCGATCCGATGGCGTCCTGCAACCACAGCCCGTCCTCTGCAGCTCATCCCAGCCAGCACTGTGGGCTCAGGGGTCGTGGCGAGCCGTCCGCAGCTGGCCAGGGAGCCTGCCAGTTTGAGCAGTGAAATGCACAGTGTTTTCAATTAACAGCCTGCTCGACAGCCACGTCACGGGCTGTGAGAAATGCTAAGTGTCTGAGGCAGCTTCTTGGTCCAGGCTGTTTGGGGGGGCCGCCGTTCTGCCCCCATCCTCATGGGCTGCATCTGGGAGCGGTGCAGGAGATGGAGAGCACAAAGGGACAAGCTTAGCTGGAGTACCCGTTATGACATTGAAAGAAAAAAAAATAAAAAATAAGATGTCAACAACTTCTACGGGCCTAATTGTTTCTTCTTAAACAGATTGTTAGCTTATGTGAATCAGGGTAGCTCTGCTGAGTAAACCAAAGAATGGAAAGGGGGAGGGGGATAGCCTTGGGTTCAGAAAGACACAATATGGGTCTTTATCCACAGCAAGCCCCTTGCTGCTGGGTCCTGAGTAACATTAACTTACTGCCACCACCCCCACCACCAAGAGATAGCAGCAGTAAGGCAAAGAGATACAGGGTGGCAAATGGTAAGACCACATTTCTGCAACCACCTCCATGCAAGGCCACCTGAAGAATCGGGCCTTGGCTCCCTGCAGCTTCTGTTCTTGCCCTGCTGCTAAGCCCTGTCACAAAACCGAACCACATAAAACAAGGCTGATGAAAACCCAGAAACTGTTACTTTCTGAGCCAGATTCCTTCCTTGCTCTGGTCCACCCTACAGCCACGTGCACCCTGGACTAGATAAAAGGGAACAGGTATAAAGAAAACATGACTGCTTCTTTCAGCATCAGTGCCAGCTTGGAGTGTTCATCCAACGGCAGCCTTGTGAAATTCTGGGAAATCCCACTGCGAGCAAAGGAGAAAAGGCTGTGCTTTAATTTCAGCAAAACACTGCATACAGACAAAGAACAGGCAGTGAGTGAGTGATGCAAACGCACCTAGCCAGATTTCTCCACTGGACCTTCAAGAGAAAAAGAGGTAAAACATCAAGCACAAAGGGCAGCCTGAGTTCTCCAAACACAAAATCAGGACAAGCCAAATCCTGTCCAATTGCACAACATTAAAGAGTGATTCTGTGCTCTCTTACCTTGTGTTAAGGCAATAGCAATGTTCTGACCTGCAATGATTTATGTGTAGTAAATTCATGCTCATAAACAAGCGAGAGGAACCAAAATCTCATGCCCTAATCCTTCGAAGCAAAACCAACCTCTTTATGGGCATGTAACATTTAGCTGAGCTTGCTGCGAAGGAGGTAATGTTTATCCTTATTTGAATCCAATAAAAGACCAAAACAGGAGCAACAATGCTCAAAGAGCTCTTCTCCTTTACATGTGCAAGTAATGCTTAAAAAAAATAAAAAAAAAGAATAATAAAAAAAAAAAAGAATAATAGATTTACATCCTTTACTAAAGTTAATTAATTTAGCCTTATGTCTCCCCAGCTGGACAGGTGTTATCCCCACTAAACATATGAGCAAGCTGAGTAAGACAAACCTGGCCCTGTTTTTCTAAGTAGCATCTAATTTTCAGTGCACTTCTTTGTACAGGCAGCTTCTGTTAATTCTGGCTGGAGCTGTAAGTGATTAATACATGTGCAAGACAGATTCTGGGTATCTTGAGCTACAGGGCTAAAATTAAAGCCCAAGCCTGAATATGTGAACCTAAAGGACTTACCCATGGCCGGGCAAGACAGGAAATCTGTTGCAGGATCAGGAAAATAAGCCAAGTCTTCAGATTCCTTGGGGCTTGTCTCCACAAGAAACATAGGGCAGAAATGTAAAATTACAGCACGCCAACAACTGACTCCCCAGGTGGACCCTTCAGTGCTCACTGCTTTTAAAGAGCAAATTTTAACCCCTCTGTAAATTCATCCCTACACACACACACACAGGCCGAGTTCTCGCTTACTGCTGAATGCTGTGGCTCATTGCCACTTTCTAAACTGAAAGGTGGTGGTGACAAGAGAAGGATGTGGTGACTCAGGAGGTAGCAATAAGAAAGCCAAGGGTAAAGTTTCACTTTGATTTCAGCAGCAAAGCTCCCTGTGAAGATGCTCTTGGTTTGCAATCAGCCAAGCAGCAGCTCACCTGAGTTTCACAGAGGGGTAAGCAACCTCATGCTTGGCATACACAAAGATTACGTCTCACCTAGTTTTAAGGCAGATGTGGACAAACAAAGTTGCTGTCCCCATTAGCAGGACCACAATGGCAGCCCAAAGGAGGAGCTGCATGGTTCTGTGCTAGAAATAAGCAGCAGGTCTCTTTGCAATCATCTCCCTAGAGATAATCTAACAAAGTCCACACAGGGGGCTGGGCTACAGATGCATGTCCTCCCAAGCTAATGTGCTGGTAGAAAAGGTTATCCTCCCAGCCTGTGGTTACAATCCCTTCAGATCTGCTTTGTTGAACTGTACTTGAATGCTTCACACATTTTTTTTTCAGCCTGAACGGGGGCAGGTTAGCAGCAACGTAGTATTTTCATTTTACAAGCTACCCCCTCCGTGCATGAGGGGAAGCTCTCAGCCCACAGCCTGCACCCTGGACCTGAAAGCAGCAGAAACCCCCAGCACTAGGGAAGAGCCAGTGATGGTAACTTCTGCCACAGCCTGCATGCATAACTGCTGCCTACGTGCAGGGTGACAGTGTCCAAGGCGTTCATACTCAGGCTTGTCACACGCTGGCTTTCACGTGGAGATAAGCCTGCTGCTAACACATCCAGCTTGGCTAACATTTTATGTATTGCAGGCATAGCTTTGCCATTTTTTAAATTCTCAAATCGGTGTGATGTAGATTCACTGGCAAAAATCAGTGTAGAGGTGACCTGCCAAAACTGGTGGGTCCAAAGGAAGATATTCAACACATCCCAAGCTGAGCTAAGCATACACAGGCCAGGATTTCTGGGTGCCAGCCCATCTGTACAGAGGAACAATTGCAGTTGCTGTTGCAAGCAGCAGCATGCAGTGAGGGTGCCAGCCGACCACAAAGTGACCACCCAGGAGATGCATACAGTACACAGGCAGGCGTAAGGTCGCTTTATTGTCTGCTGACTTCAGAGGAGTAGGAAGACCAGAACAGACGTAACACAAAAACACATTTTTGCCATTTCAAGTTGCAGACATCCATCTGTTCAAGCTGAAGTGGAGCCCCACAGTATCACTGCCCTTCATCCCTCCCACACCCCCAGAGACTTATACCTGCAGTCCCATGACGCTGAATCAAGTGTTGGTGTAGCTCCACTCTAAAGATTTTTTAAGGACTTTTGGGTTAAGAAAAAAAAAAAAAAAACTCCATACATCCTCCTCAAAAATCACTTATTTTCTTTTGAGTGGATCATTTCACAGACCCGGCTTAAAGGGCAGCTAGACAGACAGCTGAATCAGCACAGCTGATGAAGCAGTAACCTGGGGCCACCGAAAAGAAACCAACCAGCACTGCTGCCTCACTAAGCTGCAAGCTACAGCAGGACACCTGACTGTGGCCCAGCTCCTCCACTACTTTCCAAAGCATGTGTTTTTGTTTTGTTTTTGTTTTGTTTTGTTTTCTTTATGTTTCCTAAGGAAAAAAGGTTTATGCAATTGCTCTGTCTGTCAGCCTTCCTGCAATCCCTTCCAAATCTTCTGCCCAATCTCAGGCAAATCTGAAAGTGTCTTGAACATGCAATGTCTCTTTAAACCACCAGTGTCTGTGTAGAAGCCCAAGCTGGTGTCTCTCTGCAGGGAGAAATGCAAGAAAAACTCAGCTGCCAGCCAGTGCTCCTGATGAGCCAACACAAGAGTCTGGCCTACAAATTTCAGAGGGACACAGAGGGTGCCGAGTTGGTGAACTGGACACTCACCCTAGGAAGAATGGCCTTTATCATTTTGATTGCTCATGCACAGCCCGATTTAATCCTGAACTGGAAACTTTGAGCATGGAGAATTTAGCATGTGCTGAGGTTTTAAAATGCAGCATCCTCTCCGAAGTTCCTTCTGGAAACTGTTGAGATGTGGTTAGTGCTTTTAGCTCTGTTCAGTTATTTCTGTATCAGACTATCATAAGATTAATTGTCTGAACAACACCAGTATTACAGCCGTCTTTAGCACGTGCACACACACACACACACAAAAAAAAAAAAGTGATATTTTCTTCAATGCAAGGACTCAGATGTACCATTTGCACAATATGATGCCTGATGCTGTATTTATATTGCTTAAATGTGTTTTCTGAGGGGAGCTCAAGGCAAAGATGAATTCCATCTAACATGAGAGGAAAGAAATAACTTGCTATCCAGATAGGTTGTTCACTGAACTATAAATCACAGAGAATAACCATGCATACTGTATTCCTGCCTATTCCCACAGCCTCCCTCTTGTCATCACAGAGGTCTTTAGTATCCTGAAATACAGCTTGACAATAAAAATTAATTGAAAGTGTGCTAGAATCATTGACTTTTGGAGTTTCACAGTTTGCCCATCCTTAAATAACTCTGGTTATAAAATCCTGTTTGTGCTACAATTCCTTGGCTCTCTGCCACGTAGCATGTACAGAAATCAGCAGTGTGTGCAGCAGGGACTTAGCCGGCTATATGAGTGCACATAATGGACTTTCTTCTTTAGCTCAGCAGCAAAATACTGAGTCAGATCTAGAGACCGGTTATAGTCCCAGTGGTGTTTACTCCATGTAATTAGCAGTATCAAGTGTGTTGTCTTTTGGGTAGTCTGATTGTTTCCATATGCACAAGTACCTTCGGTGAATGCACACAGGGCAAAAGACAGACAACGCTCAAAGCGCACACAGTGCTACGGGAAGCACATATGTTTTAAATATATTATCTCTGCAATTAAAAGGAGATTATAAATCGGTCATATAAATC